CAGCAGCAGCAGCAGCAGCAGCAGCAGCCTCAGCAGCATCTTCAGCAGCAGCAGCAGCAGCAGCAGCCTCAGCAGCACCTTCAGCAGCAGCAGCAGCAGCAGCCTCAGCAGCATCTTCAGCAGCATCTTCAGCAGCAGCAGCAGCAGCCTCAGCAGCATCTTCAGCAGCAGCAGCCTCAGCAGCATCTTCAGCAGCAGCAGCAGCTTCAGCAGCATCTTCAGCAGCATCTTCAGCAGCATCTTCAGCAGCAGCAGCAGCAGCCTCAGCAGCACCCTCAGCAGCAGCAGCAGCAGCAGCAGCAGCAGCCTCAGCAGCATCTTCAGCAGCAGCAGCAGCAGCAGCAGCCTCAGCAGCACCTTCAGCAGCAGCAGCAGCAGCAGCCTCAGCAGCATCTTCAGCAGCATCTTCAGCAGCAGCAGCAGCAGCCTCAGCAGCAGCAGCAGCAGCAGCAGCAGCACTGACTGGTTGACTCCTGCTGCAGTGGAAATGAGGACATGCGTTGCTGCTGCCAAGGGGCAGCGGGTGTACGTACACCTGAACTTGGCGACGGGGAACCAGCGGCCCAGCAGCAAAATAAATCCTCCGGAAAAAAAAGAAAAGAAATAAAAAGTGAAACTCAAAATGCTGCTTCTTCGAAAGCCCTCCACGCTCACCACTCTGTACAGACACCCCAGCAGCAGCAGCAGCAGCAGCAGCAGCAGCAGCAGCGGCAGCAGCGGCAAAATCGCACTCCTCCTCGTCCTGCTGCTGCTGCTGCTGCTAAACGGCCTTGCAGCAGCAGCTGCTGCTGCTGCTGCCAAACGGGCTTGCAGCAGCAGCAGCTGCTGCTGCTGCTGCTGGGAGTTGGGAACTGGGGAGAGAAGCAGCAGCAGCGACGGGGGAAGGCGCAGCAGCAGCTGATGCAGCAGCAGCAGCAACAGCAGCAAAAGCAGCAGCAGCAACAACATATGCAGCAGCAGCAGCAAAAGCAGCAGCAAGAAACTCCCGAATTGCACATGGGCCAGCTGCTCCAGTGCATGCAAAAGCAAGCCGCAGCAGCAGCAGCAGCACAACAGCAGCCAAAGCAGCAGCAGCAGCAGCAGCAGCAGCAACAGCAGCAGCAGCAGCAGCAGCAGCAACAGACCTATCTTCTGGTGTCAGCTCCGAGGCGCCTTCGAGGCCATCGTAGTTAACGGCCGCCTCCGTGGCTGAAAACCCCTTCATGCTTTCCAAACCCTAAACCCTAAACCCTAAACCCTAAACCCTAAACCCTAAACCCTAAACCCTAGGCCGTAAGCTGTAGCCCCAAGATCACTACAGCTGGCGCTGAGTTCGCAAGCCTCTGCTCACAAGCCCGAAGATCAAATTGCTGCTGCTGCTGCTGCTGCTGCAGTTGCTGCTGCAGTTGCGCCTCTAGTGTCAGTGCAGTTGCTGCTGCTGCTGCTGCAGCTGCTGCTGGTGGCCTTGTTCGTGCTGCTGCTGCATGTGCTGCTGCTGCTGCATGTGCTGCTGCTGCTGCCCACGCTGCTGCTGCCACCGGCACGCTGCTGCTGCTGCGGCTGCTGCAGGTGCCGCTGCTGATGGTGCTGCTGCGGGGGCCTTGCTGCAGCTGCTGCTGCTGCAGCTGCTGCTGCTGCTGCTGCTGCTGCAGCTGCTGCTGATCCTTTACTATTGCTTCTGAGGGTGCTGCCACAAAGCGCCCCCGAGGCCTTCACAAGAAAGTGTTTTCATGGTGTTTCGGGGCTGGCAGCAAGCTGAGCCCTCGATCCCAAACCCTAAACCCTAAACCCTAAACCCTAAACCCTAGGCCCTAAACCCTAGGGCTCAGACCCTAAACCCTGGGCGCTGCCCGCGTCGCCAAAACCCTAGATTAGGGTTTCTAGAAGACGAAGGCTTCAGCGAGTGAAGGCGATCGGCTGGGCGCTGTTGCATGCAGCAGCTGAAGTGTACATACACCTGAGGGGTGCAGCAGCTAGACTTCTCTTTCGAAGCTCGGGGCGCAAAAAGGGCCTTTTAGCCGACGCAGCCGAGAGTGTTTTTGCTGCAGGAAGTCAAAAGAAGAAAGCTGAAGCAGCAGCAGCAGCAGCAGCAGCAGCGGTTCGCTGCTGCTGAAGACAGCAGCAGCAGCAGCAGCAGCAACAGCTGCAGCAGGCGCTGCTGCTGCAGCTCGCCGCCGCTCTTCTCGCGGCTTCCCGCCCGCAGCTCGCACTTCTTTATCTCTTATTTATATTTTCTTTTATTCTTTTCAAAATAATATCTCTTTTACTCCGCGTTTTGGCCTCCAAGTGCTGCTGTGCACCCCAGCGGCGCCTGTGGGGCCCCCAGTCGGCCACAGTGGCGAGCCGCCGCAAGCCGCCTCAAAAAACCCTCAAAGACAAAATTAAAAACAAATTTTACTTTAAATTTAAAGTTTAAATTCGCTTTAGAAGGGCTGCGAGCAGAATTTGCTGCTGCAGCAGCGCCGGCAGCAGCAGCCGCAGCCGCAGCAGCAACCCCATCGACCACGCCCGCCGCAGCAGCAACAGCTTCAGAAGCAGCAGCAAACGCAGCAGCTGCTGCTGCAGCAAGCCTGCAGCAGCAGCTGCAGCAGCAGCTGCAGCAGCAGCTGCAGCAGCAGCTGCAGCAGCTGCAGCAGCAGCTGCAGCACCGCCTCTAGGACCCCAGAAGGCACTAAGAAGTGCCGCCTTCTCAGGTGTACGTACACCTGAAGTTGCTGCTGCCTCCACCTCCCCACAAGCTTTCATAATTTTCTTTTAGACTTTTTTTAGTTTTTTAATTTCCTCATTTATTAGACCTTTTTGTTCCTTATAAAGAGGCCTATTAGGGGCGCAACTGTGGCTAGCTGCAGCTAGCTGCAGCTAGCTGCAGCTAGCTGCGGCAGCGGTCGCAGCAGCAGCGGTCGCAGCAGCAGCTGCAGCAGCAGCTGCAGCAGCGGCTGCAGCAGCAGCTGCAGCAGCAGCAGCTGCAGCAGCGGCTGCAGCAGCAGCTGCAGCAGCAAGCAAAAATAAAGCTACAGAAGGAGTCTAGGCAAGTTTGGCCCCCGCTTTAGTGTAAGCAAAGAGGGGCTTTTAGTTTAATATCAAAAAGCTGCTGCTGAGGCCCTCTGAGAGCAGCAGCAAGCTGCTCGCCTGCTGCTGCAGGTGCAGCAGCAGCAGCAGCAGCAGCAGCAGCAGCAGCTGGAACTCGGTCGGCTGCATGCAGCAGCTCGCCAGGCCTCTGCTGCTGCACTTTCTTTAATTAATTCTTTTGAAGCTTTTGTAGAATAAGACTTTGTAAGGATTTATAATTATTCTGAGTCTCCACAAACCCTAAACCCTAAACCCTAAACCCTAAACCCTTCTCTTCTAGCCACCCCAGCAGCAGCTGCTTTTAACGAACTGAGCCCCTAGCAGCAGCAGCAGCGGTAGCAGCGGCACCAGCAGCGGCAGCAGCAGCAGCAGCAGCAGAAGCAGAAGCAGCACCAGCACCAGCAGCAGCAGCAGAAGCAGCAGCAGCAGCAGCAGAAGCAGCAGCAGCAGAAGCAGCAGCAGCAGCAGCAGCAGTGCCGGCGTGTGCCCACGCAGGCATCATCAGCAGCAGCAAAAAGCCAGCTTTTGCTGCTGCTTGGAATTTGCCTTTTGTTGCTTCTCGAGCAGCAGTTTGCTGCTGCTTCGGTTTTGACTTTTGCTGCACCTCGAGTGGCAATTTGCTGCTGCTGCTGCTGCTGCTGCTGCTGCTGCTGCTGCTGCTGCGTTTTGAAAGCTTCGAAGTGCAGCAGCAAAACGCCAGCTGCTGAGCCCAGGGCTGGCTGCTGTGGGGCCCCACTTGCTGCAGCAAAAGTGGCAGAAGCTGCAGCAAGAAGAGCCTCTAAACCCTCTCCGTAAACCCTAAATTAGCGAATTAAATTAATTAATTAATTATTATATACCCTAAATTAGCGAATTAAATTATTTAACCATTTGCTGCGCCGTTCAAAACAAAAGCTGCTTCGGCAGCACTAACTGGCGCTGCATCTGCAGCACCTAAACCCTACTGCTGCTGCTGCTGCTCCCGCTGCTGCTGCTGCTGCTGCTGCTGCTGCTGCTGCTACTGCTGCTGCTGCTGCTGCTGCTGCTGCTGCTGCTACTGCTGCTGCTGCTGCTGCTGCAAGCAGACTGAAGGCGCTGGAAGCAAAAGCCAGTTTTGCTGCCTTCGGCCGCACAGCAGCAGCACTTGTCCAAAGTTGCCACCACGAAGGCATTCCTGTGCACTATAGCAAGCTAGGGTTTAGGGTTTAGGGTTTAGGGTTTAGGGTTTAGGGTTTAGGCGGTCAGTTGGTGGTGCTGGAGCAGCTTATCCTGTAATGTTATTTCCCCTTCGAGATGAGATTTGTCTTTGGCAAATATTTGAAAATTAATTTCAAAAAAGATGCATTTCAATTCCACGAAAAACCCCAGCAGCAAAATGCTAGCAGCAACAGCAGCAGCAACAGCAGCAACAGCAGCAGCAACAGCAGCAGCAGCAGCAGCAGCACACCGCTGAAACTCCGGGTGTTATTCTTCGAAATACTTTTAAAGAATAAGAAATGTCAATTAAATTTGATTTCAGCAGCAAGAGCAGCAGCAAGAGCAGCAGCAAGAGCAGCAGCAAGAGCAGCAGCAAGAGCAGCAGCAAGAGCGCTGCGTCGAGCCTTTTGCTGCTGGGGCTTTCGGCGCTGCATGCATTTCCTCTTGGGAAATTTTTTGCACATTTCACTTCATAGAGGGAAATGTTGCTTCTCAATGGAGTAGCGCAGCAGCAGCGCCAGCTGCTGCTGCTGCAGCTCGGCAGGCGGGTGCTGCAGCAGCAGCAGCAGCAGCAGCAGCAGCAGCACTTGCTGCTGCTGCGCCGCAGCACCCATTCTGCGCACGGGCGGCTGTCCACTCGCCTCTCGCTTATGCTGCAGAGACAGCAGCAGCAGCAGCAGCAGCGGGAGCAAGCGAAGCGCGTGCCCGCTCCGCAGCGCCGAGACCAGCAGCAGCAGCAGCAGCAGCAGCAGCAGCAGCAGCAGCAGCAACTCTCCGAAGAGGAGCGCAAGGCCCTGCTGCAGCAGCTGCTTCTCCGCATAGACGAAAGCTTCAAGCAGCACCACTCTTTGTGGCTGCCTCGCCAGAGCCAGCGCGGGGGCGGCAGAGCAGCAAAGCCTTCGCTGCAGCGCCCCTGGAACCCCAGGAAGCAGCAGCAGCAGCAGCAGCAGCAGCAGCAGCAGCAGCGGGAGCAGCAGCAGCAGCAGGGGCGCTGGGGCGCCCCTGCTGGCGGGGCTCCTGGCAGCGCGTGGGCGACGCAGCTCCCCGCTGAAGCCGCAGCAACCCCAGCAGCAGCAGCAGCAGCAGCAGCAGCAACGGCACCAGCAGCAGCAGCAGCAGCAGCAGCAGCAGCAGCAGTTCCTGCTGTTCGCCGCTCCGAAGACCTCAGTGCTCTCGAGTGTCTCTTTTTGCTGCTGCGGCTCGTCCGGCTGCCCAGAGATTGGCAGCAAATTTTGCTGCTGCTGCAGCTGCTGAATAACTTTGGAAGACTCAGCGGCAGCAGCAGCAGCAGCAGCAGCAGCACAACCCACAGCGAGATCGCCACCCGACTTGCTGCTGCTGCGGCCCTTTGCAAACGCCACGACGAAGCCTCTGCTGTGCGCTGCTGCTGCTGCTGCTGCTGCCTTGCTGCTGCTGCTGCTGCTGCCTTGCTGCTGCTGCTGCTCTGAGCGCGTCCGTCTCGCTGCTGCTGCTGCTGCTGCTGCAGCTGCTGCTGCGTCGCTTGCTGCTGCGTGCTGCTGCTGCGCAGGTGCTGGAGTGCAGCAAATACTTTTTGTCTTCTCCTCCTTCTTTATTTATTGTTTTTAATCTTTTGGAAGATGCATTAAATAGAAAAGATGCAGCAGCAGCAGACAAGCTTTTCCTTTCTCTCAGACACGACTGGTGCGCTCCCTTTGCTGCTGCTGCTGCTGCTGCTGCTGCTGCTGCTGCTGCTGCTGCTGCTGCTGCTGTGCGGCGCTGCTGCGGTTGCAGTTTGGAGTACTTGCGCTGAGGCTTGCACGGCTGCCACTGCTGCTGCTGCTGCTGCTCTGCTGCTGCTGCTGCTGCTGCTGCTGCTGCTGTGGCAGCTGCTGCAGCTCCTGCTGTTGCTGCTGCCGCATGCCTTCTTTCGAAGGAACGTTTGCTGCTGCCTCAGTGCTCATTGCGGCTCCAACCACAGCACTTGCTGCTGCTGTTGCTGCTGCTGCTGCTGTTGCTGCTGCTGCTGCTGCTGTTGCTGCTGCTGCTGCTGCTGCTGCAGGAGACTGCCGATATCCCCGTCGAGTTATTTGCTGATGCTGCGAGCTGCAGTGACACCCGAAGGCACTGATATCAGAAGATGCGCAAAAGTAGGCTTGCCTTTTGCTGCTGCTGCGCTGCTGCTGCTGCTGCTGCTGCGCTGCTGCTGCTGCTCTAGCTGCTGCAGCTGCTGCCTGTACTGCTGTTGCTGGCTGTGCAGCAGCAGCAGCAGCAGAAGCAAATTTGCTTTGTGGCTTTTGCTGCTGCTGCAGCTGTATGACGACGCAATGGCTCTGGGGGTGGCGCTGCCCCCCGCAGCTCATTTGCTGCTGCTGGAGCTGCTGCTGACCCGTGCTGCTGCTGCTGCTGCTGCTGCTGCTGCTGCTGCTGCTGCTGCTGACGCTGAGGGGCCAGCAGGCTCAGAGCCTGCGCCGGAAGAGACGCAAGACGGAGCTGCAGCGGAAGCAGATGATGCAGCAGCAGCAGCAGCAACTGCAGCAGCAGCAGCGGAAACAGCAAACACACAAGACGCAGCAGCAGCAGCAGCAGGAGAGGCAGCAGCAGATGATGACATCACTGCAGCAGAGTACCTGAGGATGGCGAAGAGAGTTTCGGTGAGTGCTGCGGCCATTTTGCTGCTGCTGCTGCTGCTGCTGCTGCTGCTGCAGTCTGCCGGCTCACCTGCTGCTGCCGCAGCCCACTACCTTGCCCGCTGCTGCTGCTGCGCCCTGACAGTTCACCAGCAGCTGCTGCAGCCTCCTGATTTGCTGCTGCTGCTGCTGCTGCTGCTGCTGCTGCTGCTGCTGCGCGCATCTGCAGGTTTGTATGGAAGAAGATGCTGCTGCTTTCAACGGCCGCCCGCTTTCCCCCAGAGCTTTGCTGCTGCAGTCCTGGCTGGCTCTCTTGGAGCACAAGTCCGTTGCCTGCTGCTGCTGCTGCTGCTGCTGTTGCTGCTGCTGCTGCTGTTGCTGCTGCTGCTGCTGCTGCTGCTGCTGCTGCCGTTATTGGCGCATTCAGCTGGCCCTGCTGCTGCTGCTCTGGTGCGGCTGCTTGCTCTCGGTTGTGTCCGTTGCTTGCTGCTGCCATCACTTTTGCTGCTGCTGCTGCTGCTTTTTTTGCTGCTTCATTTGCTGCTTCTGCTGCTGCGGCCTCTGCTGCTGCTGCTTTTGCTGCTGTGCCGGTTTTCGTTTGTTGCTTCTCTTCACATCTGCCGTTTTTGCATGTTATATTTATTTTTAATTTCTTTTTTCTTTTTTCTTTTTATTAAATCTTTTTTCTTTTTTCTCTTTTGTTCCATTTGTCTTAATGGTCTTCTTAATTCTTTCTTATTTTTCCTCTTTGCTTGTAGCTTCTTTATTTGTGGTTTCATTTTGCTGCTGCATGCAGTGCTCTGCTGCAGCAGCGACAGCAGCAGCAGCAGCAGCAGCAGCAGCAAACTCGCGCCTGCTGCTGCAGCTGAGGCTTTTTGTCTGTTTTTGTTTCTCCCTGGTTTTGCATGCGTCGTGTCTTTGCTGCTTCTGCATGCAGCCCCAATTAATTAATTTAATTTAATTTAATTTAATTTAATTTAATTTAATTAATTTCATTTTGCTGCTGCTGCTTGCTGTTCAGATTTGCTGCTGATGCTGCTGCACTGCAGCAGGGCGTTTCGCTGCTGCTTGCTGCTTGTGCAGCGCGAGTTGCTGAGGGCAGCAGCAGGTAATCCTTTTTGCTGCTGCTTTTTTATTTTTAATTATTTAATTTATTTTAATTTATTTTAATTTATTTTAATTTATTTTAATTTATTTTAATTTATTTTAATTTGTTTTTATTTATTTTAAATTATATTTTCAATTATTTTAAATTACTTTAATTTATATTTTTAATTTATTTTTAATTGCTTTTCGCATTTGCCTTTTTCCCCCTGCTGCGCTGGGTCTGCTGCTCTTGCAATTTATTCCTTTTTTTGTTTATTTTTATTTTTATTTTTATTTTTATTTTATTTATTTTATTTATTTTATTTATTTTATTTATTTTATTTATTTTTAGTTTCATTTATTTTGTTCTATTTTATTTTATAACTTTTTATTTATTTATTTCTTTTATCCTTTTCTTCATTTTGCAACTTCCAATCCAGCTGCTGCTTCTGTGTTTCTTTTATTTTCCATTTGGTGACAGAAACTGCTGCTGCTGCTGCTGCTGCTGTTGCTGCTGCTGCTGCTGCTGTTGTTGCTGCTGCTGCTGCTGCTTCGCCGCTGCTGCAGTCGAGTTTGCCGCCGCGTTTTATCCCGCTGCTTCTGGCGCTCTGCTGCTGCTGCTGCCGCTGCTGCACCTTTTGCTGCTGCTGCTGCTGCTGCTGCACCTTTTGCTGCTGCTGCTGCTGCAGCATTTATTGAGTTTGTTCTTTTTTCTGCTGCAGCAATTTGCAAAAACCTCCGCCTCTCTTCTTGGCTTCGCTGAAATCTCCAAATTTGCATTTTGGCCAAATCTCTGCAGCTGAGGGCCGCAGGCTCTCCCGGGTTCGATTCCCAGTGATGAAATTAATTAATTAATTTAATTAATTAATTAATATAATTAATTAATTTAATTAATTAATTTAATTGGTTAGTTTAATTAATTAATTCGTTGAGCTTTTTATTACGGACTGTTGAGGATAGATCAAGTTCTCCAGGTTTCCCGCTAGCAGGCGCTTTCCTCACTTTGAATGGAGGGTTTAGGGTTTAGGGTTTAGGGTTTAGGGTTTAGGGTTTTGTGTGGGGAGTCTTGGTGCTGCAGGCTGGCGCCCTTGTTGCATGCGCCTTCGGGGCGTGAAGTAATTAGTGAGGGCAGCAGCAGCAGCAGCAGCAGCAGCAGCAGCAGCAGCAGCAGCAGCAGAGTGTGCCGTTGCTGCTGCAGCTTCTGCGGTGGCAGCAGCAAAGGCTGCAGTGTCTGCTTGTGCTGCAGCAGCAGCAGCAGCTGCTGCTGCTGCTTCTGGTGTTTAGTTTACGTTTTCGTTTGT